GGAGGGATAGACGGACAGGGCTATATCGACTCAGATCGCTCGATCAAGAATATATATCACGTTATGGGGTATGCGATGATTCCTTTTGCCCGTTACATACTTTTTCACAAATTGGCGTCACTGGTGTGTGCATTTGTGTGAGTGGATGTGCATGTGTTTAGACAAAATATCAAGATGAACTGAGCGGCTCTGCAGTCTCAGACTAGTTTCAATACCATCTTCCACCTTTGTTGCTAAATAAATGCTTTTTAATGAACAAAATATTACACACGAAAACACTAGCAAGCAGGCACGCAGAAAGTACGGGGCACTGTTAAGGTAACTGTAGATAAATTACTGTATATATTTTTGCGCCGGTAGCGCAGAGAGAAGCGCAGTTTCTTTGGGTACTTCAGAAAGATGCGGCTATAATTTTAAAAGTTCCATGATAGAAGCAGAAAGTAGCGCTGTTAGTTTTAAAGTTAAATAACATTTAGGTATGTTAGTTACTTACACTTTCGACTTACGCTCTATTATCCTACATAAATAGTATATGAAATCATGTTAACATGAATATAATCTGTAAGAATCAATTTACAATAATAATGTAAAGTCAACTACGATTTCATACTTATCTCGTAAATTAAAATCGAAATATATATTCCATATATTATATATGAATATTCGATATATGTAGTTATATGTAAGAGATGTCAGAGCAGTTTTATTTCCTTTAGATAGAGAAAAAAGAGATATCGGAGCGATTCCTTTCTTATTGCTATAATTGAAAAATCAAGTATGTGCAGAACGCGACTATGGACTTTTACGAAATAAACGATATTTCAATAGAGAAGAAGGGGAGGGCTTCAAACACAGAGTTTAAAGACCTATGAATTTTATCAACCCAAACTCACCGTCTTTATATCAAGTGGATACTCAATTATTTATGCAGCAATTAGCAAGGGACATGCGAGCTCTATTCGCATCTAATTACAACAACTAGGCACACGTAATTATCTTTCTCTCGCTCTCGCTCTCGCTCTCGTTCACGCTCACGATCACTCTCTCTTTCTTTCATATGTCACCTTTTGCGCTGCGCGAACGTGACGTACTTAAATAGTTTGTGGTCGTGGGCAATCGCTAGGAAATTCTATATCTGATTACACTTATATAAATTTCGGGGCGTGTAATAGCTTATAAATGCACAGATACGATGATGTGACACAAATGTGCATTTGTACAATCATTGCCAATGCGATATGACGCGTGATCAATGATCAGACCTAAGGCAAATCTGACTGCCCATTGAGAACTCTGATCACCCACGCTCGCTCCTCTCTATCATGAATGAGTAATCGATGAGGTCGCTCGAAGAGCCGGCGTAAGTTATGGTATCGTAACAATAATAACGTGCGCTCCATAGTAGCTGACATGCCCATAATTCACAGATCAAAACAAACAACAGGTGCTACAGACAAAGCCCTGCTTTCGGCTTGCAAATGTGAGGGAGCGCTAACGCCAGTGTGGCCAGACTTTTGTTTGCGCTACCTGCCAGACCGCCTACCTCAACCGTATAAAACGTGCGTAGTGCAGGGCGCGCACAGCCAGTGTAAGTTTTGCAGCCCGGCTGCAAGCGCCGCCTGGCCCGATCCGCGACTCTTTAGTAATTAAACTAATTAGCTTGACTTGAAAATTGATGCAGCCGTTGACATCAGCAAAGAGCTCAGACCCATGAAATTAGTGTGCTAAATGGGCAATTAATATTATGCATATATTGTATATTGTGAAATGTCAGGTGTCTTTATGAATAAGTCTCTAATTTTCCCGGTATCTCAGAAACAATACTAGGTAATGTGATAGATACCTGAAATTTGTAATACATAGTCCTAAAATACATAAATGTAAGCATTGCTCATTCATTATACAAGCCCATTGGGTCTAAGCTCTGCTTTGAAACAGTCAAGTTGCCAGAAAAGATAAATCCGACCAATGCGACTCTAATTTGTTCTATAATTTATTTCCTATATTAACTCTTATTGCCCTTGTTGGAGGCATACGGCGCTCTCTCTGCAGTGGATATAAGAACTTGTAACTTTAGTTGTCACTTGAGTGATAGTACTCTGGTATATTTACATTGAGGTATAGGTAGTTATAAAAATAGTTGTGTATAAATGTATTTCTACATCTATACATATGTACATATTTCACATAGATATTTTTTCCTTGATGAATTCAAACATTTTGCAATTTACAGGTTTTGGATACCACGCCCCCTTCGCCCCCAATTTGTATTTCATTAAGATTGTATGTCCTACAAAAGAAATTATTCAACAAATAAATTCTCATAATATTGCCCACTCTCAAGCGCAGCTCTAGCGCAGTCGCAGCTCTAGCGCAGTTAGCAGAGCGCGGGCTTATACTTGCGTGCACGTGTAAGAGGTGCAGAATGATTAAAGCATTAGCTTGAAGGGTTCAGGGTATCTCCTAGTCGAGCTGTCTCGACTAGAGCCTTACTTGTTTATAATTTCAACTGGTATACGTCTTAGGTTCAGTTAAACACATCCGATGTATTAAGTATCAGTTAACATTAAGTGCTAAGTAGGTATCGACTGCTTTTTCGACACATGCTCCATCTAATGCCCTGCCCCGCCCGATTCTTTCAGGCCGTAGCTGTTGAATACACTGTGGCACGCAACAGTTTGTTGCAATTTAAGTTACAGCTGCCACCTGTCCAAATCAGGCAGGAGCCGAGCGGCCCCTGCCTCGGGCAGGGCAAGCATAGTCCGCATACATTTGGCCAACGCACGAAGGAAGCGTTCGTTCGGCCCGGCTGTCGTCCTGGCGTGTATAAAAGGATGCGCCTCGTTCGCACCGCCAGCAGTTGCCACAGCGAAGCGACGCGCGCCTCTCGAATTTTGAATGAAGCTCAGTTAAGGAAAATGTGCAAGATTTTATTTAAATATATTTAACTAACAGAAAAAATAATTCATATTCGATTGAATTCTTTTTTAACATATAATTTGTAAGGCTTCAATATGCCGGACTTACAATTTCCGTGGATATTCCGAACAGTGTTGTGAAAAATCAATTTAAAAAAAAAAAAACACGTATAAACACACGTATAAATTATAAAATAAATAAAACAAGTAAGTTTTCAAATTAATTGAAAGTAAATCGATCAAGAGATTTGGATGAGCAATTTGCAATTATTTTTAAAAAATAAATAAAGTAAACGCATTTCATACTTTACATATTATTTATTTTTGTTTGCTTCAGCTTAGAAGAACACAGTTATTCGTTGAATTTATTTCAAGTATCAATAGGTCAATAATAATACAATTTCAGTTGCTTATTTTGTGACAATGATCACTTTCCAGACCACTATATATATGTAGATACATAATGAATATAATTTGTAGTACATAAACTAGCAGTAATTATACAATGCATGAATGATAAATGGTTAAATAAGCACCTTGAAACATTTGCATTAAATGCTTTCTGATTGCTAAAATCTGTATGCAAATCCAATCTATATGCAAGTCAAGTCAAAGTATGACCTCAGAGTATAACTACAATCGAATATACTACTAACTGGAAATCGGTAATTGGTTTCGCGATTGAGCTCTCTTCAATGGACACTTGCAGCCATTTAATGTATGAATCATTTTAGTTGAGGCTCGTTCGTAACTCACCTATTTTGATCAGATATATTAAATTAACATGGGCAATTAATTTGCAATTGTCACGTTTCATTCGTTCCCTTCCAGTCTCTAACTGACTTTTAATTATCGGCGACGTTTGTGCTGTTCGTTTTATCAGAACTGTTGCTTCTCACTCGGAGATATGTATGTGCGTTGTGAGCGCGCCAGGTGCAAACATCGTAAATTGTAATTAAAAAGCAATGCAAATGAATAGTCAAATATCAATTGCGACTTATCTCGAAATTCATGAAGAGAAATCCTCTTTTATAGCACTACCAGTCCCACGATTCCACGCAAACACTTCAAGTGTAACAGGTTTCGGCTGAATCATCTCCAAACACATGTGGAGGACCTGAGTGGCATCCAACAATAGTCTGAAAGCTAGCCGTCGGCCATGCGCGCCTAGCAACTCTACCTGATAGCGCACTCAAATGGGCCAATTATAGTACATGTGTACATGTAAATATGTATATATGTATCTGTATCTGCATTCATGCCACATTGTAGCATTGACATTGGGCATCGGCAATTTGGTCAGGGATGCGCCGCAAATGCTCTCGGTGCAGGGCAGCCATTGAGCCATAGATTACTCGATTGAGCCAAAGGACACCTGGGGGACTCCGATGTGAGTGTGAGAGTTGCAATTTAATGATGCGTATATGCGCGTCTGGGCAGGGGCAGCCAGCCAAAACAAATATCAAAATTACAAAGAAAATCTAATTTGTCCACTCTCGCGCTTGCATATATTGTAGAATTGTTGTTTGAAAGCACTTAAGTTAGCTCAAAAACAAATTCTTTAGAATAATTGAATCAATAGATTTCAACAAGATTAAATACAAATTATGTTATTATTATTTCGATTGGATATATTTATTAAAGTTGTAGAAGTTATAAGAAAATAGACAGCTTGATATATAAGAAGTCCTATAAATAAGTATATTGACAAATAAATAGAATATTACGTTTAAAAACGAAAACAAAATTAAATTTCTTTTATCTCATATTATGATTTTCCAAAAATGTTATTAGTGTATATAGGGAGTATACAGTTGTAGTATTACTTCTCTATAAATAATATACATCTACCTATTGATATTAATGTCGTGAGCCACCCTACCATAAGGATATTTCTTTCAAAGTATAAATATTCGTGTATATACATATATAAAACTTGCGTAAGGCCATTGTCCATAGGTGTGTGTGTTTATGTGTTAGTTTGTTTATATGCGCGATACATCGTTTGGGAGGAGCCTCACGCGTTGTTCATCATTTGAAGTCACGAGTAATTCTTTAACCGCTTTCAGTTAACGACAAGGTCAGTGCCACGCCCATAGGCAAAGGATGTGCCGGCCAGCATGTAAACACTGAAAGGCAAGTGCAATAATCGGAGTCCAGCAGACAATACACGGAGTGCAAATAGAGCTGGTGTTGGACAGAGAAAGAAACAGAGGTAGAGAGAAAGAAAAAAAGGGAGGTAGGGAGAGAAGGAGCGAGAAAGAGTGAGTATACTGAGAGCCTTGGCTCTGGCACAGCCGCAAACGCAACCTGTGGCAGTGCAGGGCAGAGTCCGGCTGGCCAAGCTAGTACCGCGATCGCCGTATTCGGCCACAATGCCCGTACAGGCTCAGCCAGATGTTCGCAGCAGCGGAAGCATGGATCGCACCAGAGACGACAACAGCATGGAGTTCGGGCACAATGCAGCCGCGGCGAGCGCTGCAACGGCCAAGCCGTGGGGCAACAAGGAGTCGCCCAATAACGAGGACGACTCCAACGGCGATGATGACGTTGACACCACGACGCCTGCTAAGGTCACCGATCCTCTGGCCCCACGACTAGGCAGCCATGAGGTAAGCGCAGCCCGCATCCTAATAAGCTCCGCTGAAACAGCGAACTATCAATGCCTTTCGCTGTTATACTTTCAGCGCGTGTTGGTCGTGTCCGTGACGGAGCGACATCGTGAAACTTGGGGCCAGAAGGCCGAGTTCCTTTTGGCCGTTATCGGGTTCGCCGTAGACTTGGGCAACGTCTGGCGCTTTCCCTACATTTGCTATCAGAATGGTGGCGGTGCCTTCCTGGTGCCTTATTGCATCTTCCTCATCTTTGGCGGTCTGCCGTTGTTCTACATGGAGCTGGCCTTGGGTCAATTCCATCGCTGCGGTTGCATCAGCATCTGGAAGCGCATTTGCCCAGCATTGAAGGGTTAGTGAAGTATTTTATGTTTCTCACTTAAATACAATAAGAATTTGCATATTAGTTTATTCACTTTTTATTTATTATTATTTCATTGTTGCAGCTTTTTGTCTAAAACTCTAAGTAAAACTAAAGTATATAAATTATTGGCGAATACATACAGAAGTATTCGCCAATCGAAAATTCAATCAAAAAACTTAAATAAAATCCATACATACATACAAAAGTAAATGTAAACGTAATGATTGCTTTTCAGAATGTAGCTCCAAAGATGTGTAGAATATGAGTGACTAAATTTAAACAAGTATGAAAACTCTAGTCGAGAGTGCTCGACTAGATACTACCCTGAACCAAACTAATAAAAGCACATTTAGTTAGATCAAGAATATATATACTTTGTGGGGTCTGCCACGCCTCCTTCTGCCTGTTACATACATTTTGACAAAACCATTATACCCTGATTTCACATTTTCATTTCGAGTTTATCACTAAAAATCGATAACTGCTCCTTACATTTTATTATCGATTAAGACCTTATCGAAAGCTAGTTATTTACTTATATCTCCTACATCTTTAGAGCTATTGCTTCCAAATTTTAAATATAGACATATCTATATTTTATATAGTTTCGGTTTTTATTGTAATTTACCCCCCACCCCTATATCCCTATATATTTGATATTGCGCCACATAAATGAATTACAAATATTGAATAATCAACGCACGGTAAAGAAAGCAAATTTCACACAATTTCCACGTTCGAATCTATCAAGACTTCAAATTACGTTCAATATTTGTTCAGTTAAATGCCCCGCAGTCCCTGAGAGAGGTTGAAAATTGATTTATGTATATGTACATATTTCTATATTATATATATTTCATGTTAATTATATATATATATGTGTACATGTATATGTGTACGTGTGTGATGTATATATTTCATATTAAATTTAAGAGTTTTAATATTAAATACATCACACACACATGGTGTTTAATGTTTGAATTTAATGTGATGTTGAGATGCAATGGGACTGAAATAGATATCGGACAGAGAGAGGGGAGTTAGGTGAGAGTGTGGACAGGGCGCCCGCAGAGAAGTTTTCATTGTTTCGCTCAGCTGCTGATGACATTATCGGGGAGTCTGAATGGAACCGGAGTCGGCCTCGAGCTGATTCAAGTGAACTGCTGATAGCCCAGACTGGAAATTGTTGCAACAATTAACGACGCATTCAAGGAAAATTTAGATTCATTTTCAAATTCAAATCTGAATAGGGCACAAATCAGGCGCAATATGAGCTCTAATTAAATTGTGCAGCAAGCCGTCCTCACTTCCACCTATACCTCCTCCTACTCCTCTGCCTTCCCATGCACAAATTGACTTATCTCGATACGAAGACACTCGAAAGTTTTGCGTATCAAGTTGATAATTTCATTAAATGGCAAACAAAATGCTGCCAAATGGATTTTCCTGCTATACAAGTGGATTTATCCTGCGGCTGTCAGCGCTTTAAACTTGCACCAACTTTTTGCTGACTCACTAGAACCACTCCCATTTTCGCATCCGGAGCTCCTCTGAGTCTCCACGCTGCCAAGCCGCCGGCCCTCTGGCCCTGAGCTGAACGGCAAACATTACTTTGTGACAGTCATCATTTGCTCAACAAGTGTTTGCTCTAGAGAAACCTTTGCGCCAACTTTCTGCCAGGCGATTAAAACTGAATAGAAACGAAGAAAAACCATTGACACAGACACACTCACACACAAACCCATAGTCACAGAGCATAAAATAGAGGAAAGTGCTCGACTAAGGCGTACCCTAGAATCTAAAGCTCCTTTATGTTTCTTTTAGAGGAATCTTGAATATGGAGAAGATATTTCAGTATATATATTGTACATTATATACATATACCCATTAGATACATGTAGTGTTAGTTAAAGAGAAGCAAGTTAAGAGAGGCAATGGCCCGCTTTTGATATCAATTGTTACAGGGTATGAGACGCATAAAATAAAAATGGCTTGTGGCAAAGTCTAAGCAAGGCCACAAACCAACTCAAAATCGTGTGACGTGTCTTATTGGCATCATCAAATCCGTTTGGCAGGTGTTTGCGAGGAAAGGTGCACAGCGGGTGGATCCAGATGCCTTGGAAATGCGCGGAGTCCGTGGACACATTTTAGCAAAGCATTCCAATTCCATGTCGGCTCCAATAAGCAGGAATGTGTAAAATGTCACGTGGGAATACTTGCATACTGAAGTTGATGAATTCTCTCATCGTTATCAATCAGAGATTGGCAACCCCACTTTGCGCTCACACACACACACACACACACACACACACACACACACACACACACACACAC